GCACATGTAGACTAACTTCCGAAGTACAAGGTGTTTTGGATCTAGCAACTTAAAAGGAAGTTTCTCTAGCAGGCATGCATCACCAAGCGCACTTTACAAGTATTACTTTCTAATTTCATGTGGTTACTTATTGTTTTATCGTGTACTTTTCCGAGCTCAATTTCTAGACGTAGAGGTGTCAAAAAAAATTATTTATTCCTTCTGTAGGCACCTAATTTATAGTAAAATACGATTAGCACTGAAATCGGGGCAAAAAAACTAACAGCCGGGAATCAAACACAAAAAATTAAGGTTTCCCACACACCCCCCACGCGCACCCTTCATGTGCATGGTGCACGTGAGTAGAGATGCCCTTAGAGCACTGGTAGACGTAAACTTACCCTTTGATTTTTGTGGGTGTGACACGTGGCGTGTAGGGGTTGGCAGTAAATGTCGAGTTGGATAGCGAGTCGTCGGGTCACTTCAAGGGCACGAAGGTTAATTTTGGGACGATAGTTTAGGTAGAAAGCGAGCGACGTGTGTTAGCATTTGGGATCGAGCGCATTTCTTCATTGCATGGCCGACACGTGTCCTTATTAAAAGAGTTGAAATTTCTGGAAAAATCTAGTTACTTACGAAGTAAGTGCTTCTCGATTTCGACTTGTAATATGATTTTTTGTCAAGTTGCAACACGAAATTTGCAAGAATCCGCACCTAAGTTAATTTAGTTGAGTATTAAGAACCAAATAAACAAAAAAACATTAGATCTAGGGTGGAATCCTGAAACAAAAGAACCGTAGACTTAACTCGTGTTCTTGCTCGTTTTTCGATACAATCGAATGATCAAACAAGCCAGACCGCTCCTCCTTGATTCTCTGAGTAATTCTGGAGAGAAATAATTGGGCAATCGGTGCTCCAAGTGCTCCATGTTATCTTTGATGATTAAGGAGGTTGTGGTTATGGTTACACACTGTATGTTTTCGGTAAACATCCACTAATGGCCACTCTACGAGGTGATTTAAGAAAATGGTTATCAAGGTTAGGATTACATGCTATGTATTTCAGGTAACCAACCATTGATAATCATTTTAAGGAGTTAGAATGGATGTTGATTTTCATGTGGTAAGGTCACATGCTGTGTGTATCGGATAACCAAACACTAATGGTCACTCTACGAGGTGAATGCAGAAAATGATTAACAAGGTGAGGGTATCACGCTATGTGTTTTTCGGTAACCAGCCATTGATAGTCATTTTAAGGGGTAAAGATAGATGTTGATTTTCATGTGGTAAAAATTACTCATCGTGAGTTTTGGGTAATTAACCACTAAGATCCCTCAATTTTGTTTGATTGTAATGTGATGGTTTATGTGTCTGATCTCAATAGCAGAGTTCGTTATTGAGTATTTTAATACTCATCCTTTTTTTTTCAATGATTTTCAGGCAAGGCTATGATACAGGGTGAGGAGCAGAGTGGAGAAGTTAGTCATGGGGCAAATTGAGAATTTTATTGTTTCATTGTTAGATGTTTTGGCATTTAGTTGTTGATTGACTTAAGCTGTGTTAGAGGACACCTAGTTTATGGGAACTAGTGTGTAACAGCCCAAAGCCACGGGTAGCAGATATTGTTATATGATAATGTAATGATGCTCTATGATGGTGTGATGTTATTATATGATGATGTGATGATGTATATGATGATATGAGATGATGATATGACATGATGGTATGAGATGATGACATGACGATGACATGGTAGATGACATGATGATGATGATACATCATAACATGATGATATAAGTTGCTTGATTATGAGACGACTTAATATGATGATATTCCATATTAAGTTGATGTAGATTTATTAGATGCCACAATGTATTATGAAGATGATTTTTCTAAGATACAACCCCAATCGATGTTAATGACGATGAACGTATGAAGGCCAATGCATGCATGTTATCTACGATAATGTGTGAATGATGTATAGGGTTGTGTCATAAAATAATTTAAAGATGAAAACTATAGGGATCTCATGCATATTCTAGTCATATACATCGGGTTACTTTCCCATTTATGATGATGAGTATGGACCGTACACTACGATGATGATGATCATCATCATGATCATGCCTCGTATGATGCTCGGGGGTCTGTTAACCTCCAAATAATCGGTTACGGACAACTAGCCTGACTATAATGGGTCCAAGGGTGTGAACTGCTTGGAGACTCACGTTCGCACGTGTGGGTCGTGTGTAGGAAAGTACTACACATCTAATCATGGGTTACATGTGTTAGCATTACTAGACTCCAATAGTGGGATCACTTACTGAGCATTTCTTAAAATACTAAAGTCGTGTGCTACATTTATTTCAGGTAAGGCAAGACACCACTATACAATTGATGACGACATTGCAAGTACAGACCGTGGCACATGCATAGGATAGTTGTCACAGGATAAGGTTAAGTAGGTAAACCAAGAAATGATGTAAAATGACCATAGTACTCCTAAGGTAATTTACCTTTGGTTCATGAACTAGGTAACCACCAAATATTCTGAAACTCTGTCCCTTGGAACGCATGAAAATTTGGACAAAGGTTGTCAAGTTTATGACTAGTACTGTAAATCTTAGGGGGATAGTCTTGGAGAACGAACCAAGAGCAGAACAAGAACCTAGAAAGTACCAAGAACATGACAGAGATCAATGGCTACAACATGGATCAAGATCTAAGTTCCAAGATCAAGAACCAAGAACTAAGAACCACGACCCTTAGATTAGAACTAAAGTTTAAGGATCCGAGGACCAAGGTTCCTCTGGATAGATCATGATATCAACCCATGAGTCAAGGATAAGAACTAAAGAGCCTAAGTACTTCCAATAAGAACCAAAAAAAGAAAAGAAAGAGTGTGATACTCTAGCATATCAAGGACACGATTAAGAGCCTACAAGAAGGCTACTTATTAAGTCTTTGTACTCATTCCTTATTTTTCATATTTTTCAGGTAACAAGGAGCTTTTTGAGGTTCGGAACAGGCTCTAGAGTAGGTGTCGTAGACAAGTTTCACCCGTCGTCCTCAACCTTTTTATTTTAAAATATTTTGTGTCCATTCGGTATTTTGTGTCTTAATGGTTGGGTTGTGTTTTAAAAACTTATGTATGAACTTTATTTTGATATAATGTATATTATGTTTTAAATTTTCTTGTTTTATTTCGTTAAATTTTTTTCCGTCTTTTATGAAGTCATCGAGTCAGCCCGGTCCTTACAACTTGTATCTTTCCAAAAAAAAAAAAAAACAATTATATGTATATAACTATATCATGTTTTATTTTATTATCATCAATATACATTTTAGCTCAACAAGTACATCAGAATTGACCTCCAATCTCAAAATAGAAAAGTAATAAGGGTTTTCTTGTGTCTTGATCAACAATTGTGTTGAAATCAACCCAATGAAACTTGACATCCTTGGAAGTTGTGTTTAAATCAACCCAATGAAACTCAACATCATTTCCAAGGGTACTCTAATAGATATGATTCTTTAGAACCAAGAAGTAAGGAAATGCCATTGTCTTCTGCAGCTGTTAAGGATATTTAGTAATAAATTATAGTTTACCATATATATTATATTTGATATTTTATTATAAGGCAAATATCTAACATTTGCCTTATTACTTAGGTATCTTTCCATTTATTGTTATTTCCATTTATTACTATTTCCATATCCTTGTAATTTATTTGATTATAAATAAGATAACTTTCACACCATTTAGGTGTGGTGGATTCAGCAAACATTCACAGCAGCCCATGTACAAATACTATTATAACATTGATCACTAAACAAATTTTCCATTTCTGGCCAAAATACTTCACCAAAAGCATGTCCGTGTTTGCTGCTAAAATTGCACTAAAACCGTGTTGATTGCCAAAAATTTTCTTTGAAGGTCAAAGAGTATTTCTCTCCAAGGCTGATTTCATGTTCGCCTAAATCGTTGTCTTTAAACTTGCAGTGAGCCAAGAGAGTTGTATCCTTCATACGATTCCAAATTGCAACTTCCCATGGGGAATATGGACGTTGTATCTTTGAGTCGGATTGTGCAAAACATGAGCTAATACTCATGTTTGATTTAAAAGCAAGAAATATGATGAGACCGAATATGTTTTGAGGCTTCATTTTTTTTTGTGGGAGTTTAAGTTGGTAACTTTTTCTTTGTTCACAAATCCATTTTGTTTTTGTTTCTCTTATATATATATATAGCCAAAAAAAAATCGTATACAATAAAGATTGACCGGTTGTACAATCTAAATCTCTCTACTTTTCTAACCTTATTTATCTAAATATATATCATACATGTAATAATTAATAGGATTTATTATATATATCAAGTTGTTACATCCAAGTTCAAATATGTTATATTTGGACGAAAGTTTAATCCAACAAAACCTACCCTATAATGATCTTTTTGTTGATAATGACTAAGGAAAAAGTAACAATACAAACGCATAAGAAATTCAAATTTTAATTGATCTCTTTGTCAGGTAATATAATCTAGAATCTTTTTGTTGATAATGACTTAACCTACTCTCTACTTTTCTAACCTGAAGTCTGCGTTTCGAGCTGAATCACAACCTGTACGCATTGGCATACTACCGACACGTGTCTTGTCCCCACCCACTGGCTCACTTGGCTCGATTTTGCTAGTCTCTAACAGCTAAAAAAAAGTCATTTGATTTGGGTTAGACGTTTTAAGAACGATTTCAATGTTTTTGACCCTCTCGAAGCTAAATTTGATCTTATTTAAGGGAAATTAAGGTGAGTACAATGTTCAATTTCTCAATTGAAGTTAAATTAGGTTAGGACTCAAGAATTTTCTAATGAAACAAGGTGAATGTTCTAATAGGGTGAAACATCTCTACGATACTTGAAACAGACTTTGAGGAATGAAATCAAGTGTATTTGAGTATTAGATAGAACGTCGACCAAGGTCATCCAAGTAAGTCATCTTACAATAGGCATAGTTAGAAGTTTGTGTTATGTAAGATGACACATGTTCAGTGACTCTACAGTGTGTCATATGTTTGATATGTGTGAGATGTTTATGATATGACATGTCTATGCTATGATATGATTGATGATATGATATATGTCTATGATATGATATGTTGAACTAGATAATATGTTGAATGATATGACATATGGAACTATACAATATGTTGAAGGTTATGATGTGTTGCATGACATGATATAATACGATTTATTACATGAACGATAAGCAGTAAAAAGTTTTGACATGATACACATCCCCAAACATGTTTTAAAGACTTTGCTATAAAATTATATGATATGAAGAGAAATGGAAAGGGTTGTCTTACATGATTTAACTAATGTGAAAAAGTTGGGATCTCATGCATAATGGTATGCCACATGCATCAAGATATTTTTTCCTTAGGATTAGTATGAACGTGTAATTTTGAAATGGAAAATGATCGTCAGTTTAACAAGATGCTACGATGGTCGCTAGTCCTTATGGTTGTCCGACAATAACACTAGAGACGCTAACCCAACAAGTACGGGGCCCAGAAGGTGTGCAAACCCCCTCGTCAGTCTATATTTGCACGTATGGGGCATGTGCAGTGTAGTAAATACACATGTAGAGTAGACGAAACAACCAGCACCACCGTCAGCTCAAGCTAGGGCTTATGCGTCTACGAGCAAGGATATTGGGAAGTCCGACGCCGTGGTGACAGGTACACTATTTGTTTTAGGTCATTTCATTTTTACCTTATATGATTCTGGTTCTACGCATTCCTTTATTTGTATGCCTTTTGTTGTACAAGTAGGGTTCGAATTAAAACCCTTATTGCATGAACTGTCTGTAAGCACCCCTGCGGGGGTAGACTTGGTAGCTAGGAATAGAGTAAAGAATGGTCAAGTAATCATTGGGAACCAAACTTTAAGCGTTGACCTGATTGTAGTAAACATGACGGACTTTAACATCATACTAGACATGGATTGGCTAGCCGAAAATCGTGCTAGTATAGACTACCGTAAAAAGAAAGTAAATTTTTTACTACCAGCAGGGCCGACCTTCAATTTTAAAGGCACAAGTATCGAGATTACTTCCTAGGTAGTCTCGATGATGAAAGCAAAAAGGTTAGTCCAACAAGGCGGATGGACTATATTAGCATGTGCTGTAGACGTAAGAGGAAAAGAAAAGACCCTAGAAAACGTGTCAATAGTAAACGAGTTCCTAGATGTATTTTCGAACATCTATAAGAAATACCCCTTTCCCGAGTGGTCGACTTCGTCATCGAACTCGGGCCGGGAACTAGGCCATTTCCAAAGTACCCTATCGCATGGCGTTAACAGAGTTGAAGAACTCAAGGTGTAGTTACAAAACTTACTGGATAAAGGGTTCATTTGACCTAGCATATCCCCCTAGGGTGTGCTAGTGTTGTTTGTTAAGAAGAAAGATGGATCCATGCGTCTGTGCGGCGATTACAAAGAGCTAAATAAGAGAACCGCAAAAAACAAATACTTTCTGCCTAGAATAGAAGACCTATTCGATCAACTCAGAGAGCCAACTGTATTTTCAAAGATAGACCTTCAGTCTGATTATTACCAAATTAGATCAATGAAAAAGACGTACCAAAAATAGCGTTTAGGACAAGGTATGGTTACTAAGAATTTGTAGTGCTGTCATTTGGTCTCACCAATGCCCCAGCTGTGTTTATGGAGTTGATGAACTAAGTATTCAAGGACTGTCTAGACACGTTTGTGATGTTGTTCATTAACGACATCCTAGTGTACTCGAAGACACATCTAGAACACCAAGAACACCTCCGAAAAGTTCGAACAACCCTGAGAGAGAACAAGTTGTACGAAAGGTTCTACAAGTGCTAATTTTGGTTACGACAAGTCTCTATCCTAGGACACATGGTGACAAAGGACGGAATATCGGTAGATCCCACCAAGGTAAAAGCTGTAAGAAAATGGGAATGCCCAACTACGGTAACAGAAGTAAGAAGTTTCCTAAGATTGGCAGGATACTATCGAAGGTTCGTGCAGGACTTTGCTAGGGTAGCCTCGCTTTTAACATAGTTAACAAGAAAAGGGGTACCATTTATAGGGAGTGATGCTTGTGAGGCAAGCTTCCAAAACCTGAAAGAGAGATTGGTAATCGCCTCGGTACTCACGGTACCCGAGAGCTCAAAAGGGTACGTGATTTATAGTGACGCCTCCAAGAAAGGACTGGGATGTTTATTAATGCAATACAACAAGGTTGTTGCAATCTAAAGTTGGCCACTGTAGTGTTGACACTAAAAATTTGGCGACACTACCTGTATGGAGAGAAAACTCAAATTTTTACCGACCACAAGAGTTTAAAATATTTCTTCATCCAGAAAGAGTTAAATATGAGGCAAAGAAGGTGGTTAAAATTGGTGAAGAACTATTAAGTAGATATCCAGTATCACCCTGGAAAAGTAAACGTGGTCGCAGATGCTTTGAGTAGAAAGATGGTCTACTCGTTTGCTCTCATTACGAGGGAAGTAAGGGTACAAAGAGAATTCGAGTAAGCCAGCATAGTTCTAACGACCGAGGAAGTCATAGCACAACTGGCCCAACTAATAGTGCAACCTACGCTTAGGTAAAGAATTATTACCTCCCAACGAGAAGATCCAAACCTACATAAAGTCCTAAGCCAGCTAGACGAGAGTCCAGTAGATGGATTCTCGAAGTGCTTAGATGAAGGGCTATTGTATTAGGGACGCATATGTGTCCCAAAAATAGAGGAGCTAAGGAAAGAAATACTAACGGAAGCTCACAACTTGCCATTTTCCATGCACCCAGAAGTTATTAAGATGTACCAAGATTTAAAACAACATTTCTAGTGGAAGATCATGAAGAGGGACGTGGTTGAGTTTGTGATCAAGTGCTTAGTTTGTCAACAAGTGAAAGCTCCTAGACAAAAGACAACGTGGATGTTACAGCCCCTAAACACCCTAATCAAACTGGCAAAACCCTCACCGACCTTTATACTTTCCCCCAGAGTGAATACAAGTCGCAAATCATAGGTATCACCATCGAAAAAGGAGATATGAAAAACGAGTTCTTGAGGAAATGAGATCTACCTCCACAAACATCCAACAGCCATGAATCTTCGTGGGAAGGTGGATGTAACGCCTCAACAAAAAAGAAAGAAAAGAAAAGAAAAGAAAAGAAAAGAAAAGAAAAGAAAAGAAAAGAAAAGAAAGTTGGCCAAGTCATTTTGCCCCTCAAGCCATAATAGGGGGCCAAAGACCTTAATCAGTTTACCTGAAAAAACGAAAGAGAGTTAGGGGGAAAGGTTGAGAGAAAAAAATAGAAGTAGTTGCCGGAGATCCTATCAAAAACCGCAATCAGAATCCATTTTCCGCCAACGAGGGACCACCCCTTAGAGAAAAGAGAGGTCTAAGAAGCAAAGGTTCGTTCGCATCAAGGTCTAAGAATGTTTCGTGAGGTAAGACCCTTGAACGAACTTTTTCAGATCTAAGATTTTCCTATGTTTATTGAGTCCTAAAATGTTGATATATTCACCTAGGAACAACTCTCCACACGATATGTGAAGAAGTTTGGCCAAAATCTCAATCCGAAGGTGAAAATTTGAGAATCGTTCGAGAACGGTAAGCAAACTTCCGACACTAGTAATTCGTCTAGTAGTTGTTAGATTGAATAGCACTATGACCTATGAGTCACGACCTTATGTATTTATAGATTTGTACAATGAGGATCACATGGTGGTCCTTGATCCAAGGTAACAAACTAGAAAATCAATAGATTCTCCTTGATCCAAGGTAACAAACTAGAAAATCAGTAGATTCTCCTTGATCCATGGTAACAAACTAGGAAATCAGTAGATTATCTTACTATGTACAGATATGACCTATTCTACGTTTAACACCCCCCATCAATCTTGACGATGTACCACTAAGTTTAGATTGCGACTAAAACTACTAAAAGAAGGAGTTGGCAGTGACTTTGTCATGATATCGGCGAGCTGATCCTTGAAAGATATGAGTCGCACATCAAGCTGACAAGTCGATACTCGTTCACGAACGAAGTAATAATCAACCTCAACATGCTTCGCCCATCAATAAAAGATTGGATTTGCATTCAAATAGGTGGCACCAATGTTGTCACACCACAGGCTAGGCGCTCGCGCTTGCGAGATCTCGAGCTTGCGAGATCTCGAGCTCACGCAAGAGGACTTGGATCCATATTAATTCGGTAGTGGCATCAGCAACCGCCTTGTATTCGGCCTCCATACTAGAATGAGAAACTACTGATTGTTTTCTTCAACTCTAGGAGATAAGATTGCCACCAAAGAAGATCGCATAGCCTCTAGTGCTTCGACGGTCATCAGGATTCCCAGCTCAATCAGCATCCGAGAAGAGACTAAGCAAATCAATGTTGGACTTTGTAAGACACAAGCCCATATCAATACTGTCATGAAGATAACGAAAAATTTGTTTGGTCGCCGCTCAATGTATAGAAGTTGGGGAGGACATGAGCTAGCATACTCTGTTGACACAGAAGGATATATCAGGATGTGTTAGAGACAAATATTGGAGAGCACCAAAGACACTCCAATAGCGAGTAGTATCCTCAGGCGAGAGCTTTTCACCACCATCCAATAACAACTTCTCACTAGGAAGCATAGGTGTGGGCACACCCTTGGAGGTGAACATATTGGTTCTAGACAATAAATCTTAAATGTATTTATGTTGTGCCAGAACAAGTCCACTAGAAGTATGACAGACCTCAATCCCAAGAAAATCACTCAAAGTGCCAAGATTCTTGACGGCAAAATCATCTCGAAGCTGTGTAAGAAGTGTCTCAGTAGCCGTAGAAGATGAGCTGATGATAATAATGTCATCAACATAGATGAGGATATACATCTGAATGCCTGTCTTGTTAGTTTATTTAATCTTGTATTAACCGTAATTTATTTGTATTTACTGTTTGTATTTCAAATTATGTCAGCTAAGGGAAGTTTAGCCGTTAAGGGAAGTTATTAGTGGTTAAGGGAAGTTTTTAGCGATTAAGGGAAGTTATTATTAGTTATTAATGTGTGGCTATTTTGTCTATATATGTACTGTGTAACAAGTTGAATACGATGAGTAAGTTGGTTTTGTTTATTTTAAAATTATTGCCTCTCTTAGTTGTATGAATGTTTCTGATAATTGGTATCAGTGCTTGGTTACATGCCAAAGATCATGCCGAGAAATAATAACAACACTGGAGAGAGAGGAGAGTTGTCGAAGTTTGCAACAAAGGAAGGTCTGGTAACACTCCAATACCCGACGTTATCGAGAACCAACTACTCAGCATGGGCTATGAAGATGAAGGTCTATTTGCGTGCTCAAGGGTTGTGGGATATAATCGAAAGGAAGGATCAAATGGCCTTAGCAGCTATCTATCAAGCAATCCCTGAGGAGATATTGTTTTTGTTAGCAGAGAAAGAGACAGCAAAAGAAGCATGGCAGACGTTAAAAACTATTCATGTCGGTGCTGAACGTGTAAAGGAGGCAAAGATCCAAACTCTGAAGACTGAGTTTGAAATTATGAATATGAAGGAGTCAGACTATTGATGATTATGCAGCAAGGTTGACAAGAGTTGTTAATAAAATACGTACTTTTGGAGACAAGTTTGAAGAGGCATACTTGGTGAAAAAATTTCTCCGCTCAGTACCTCCTAAGTTTCTTCATATCGCATCGGCAATAGAGCAATTTGCCGATTTAAAGGTGATGACCATGGAGAAAGTCATCGGTCGTCTTAAAGCATACGAGGAACAGATCGATGGCAACAAAGAGAATGCTGAGCATGTCTTATCCACTCAAGGAGAATGGAAAGCAAAAGAACGTAGCGACAATGGAAGAGAATGCTGAGCATGTCTTATCCACTCAAGGAGAATGGAAAGCAAAAGAACGTAGCGACAATGGAGGCCATGTTGGATTTCAATAATTGGCCGGGAAATCCTTTGTTTTCGGTGAGAGGAAATTGTCAACAACAGGTTGTTGGAAGGAAAATAAAATGCGTAAAATAAGAAGAGAGAGAATGATGAAATTTTGACTGCCCTTTAATTCAGGTTTCTATTTAAATATAACGACGTGTTTGTCAAATGATCAAACGAAGAAGGAATGTAATCACCGCCTTTTGCTCTCGCCGGTGCAAGCCATTCCTCCTCAGTGAGGAGTAGACGACCCTCCTTGTTGACAGTTGGAATGGTATTTTTCTTCCGCTGCTCGACGTTACGCAGTCTTCCGGTCACCTCTTCCACCGTTAGGTGGAATGGTATTTTTCTTCCGCTGCTCGACGTTACGCAGTCTTCCGGTCACCTCTTCCACCGTTAGGTCATTCACGTCAAGCAATGTCTTGATTGAAATCGTGACTTGCTCGAGGTGATCGGGGACTCAATCGTTTCTCCTTCCTCTGGCTCGACAGCATGCCATAACCCTTGCACCTGTAGGTTGACGCGCATCAACAAGGTCCACTCGTTATATAGTTAGACCTTGTCAATATCGGATACTAAACCACGTCGGTCGTTGTCTCCCTGATCACTCTCTCAATGACAACTCGACGCCCGTCATCACGGCGTCGGTCACGGCCTCTTCGTGGTGGTGATGGAGATGCCGGACTTGGCGATGTGGAGGAGTGAGCGAGCCTGCTCGAGATGGACCCCATCGATGTGTTCTCGAGATGGACCCCATCGATGTGTTCTCGAGATGGACCCCATCGATGTGTTTATTTTTGCGCTTTGCATTTTCTTCTACTCGAACCTGGGACCTGTGTGTTGTTAGGTCGACGCTCTAGCCACTTTAGCTATTCAACTTAATTGTTGATAGGATATCTCTTCTGTGATGGTATACTACCGATCGCTTCAACGAGGCTCTGATACCACTTGTTGGATTTCAATAATCGGCCGGGAAATCCTTTGTTTTCGGTGAGAGGAAATTGTCGACAACAGGTTGTTGGAAGGAAAATAAAATGCGTAAAATAAGAAGAGAGAGAATGATGAAATTTTGACTGCCCTTTAATCCAGGTTGTACAATATTCTGAACAGATTTCTATTTAAATATAACTCAATTCTAAAAATGGCTGGAGAGTGGCCAACTGAATCTGTGCCACTTCCTACTAAATTGTCGTTTAAACTTAGTTAATCCATTCGACGTGTTTGTCAAATGGTCAAACGGAGAAAGAATGTAATTGTGTGAATCTAAATAAGGAAAAATCAGGTTTTATCTAACAGGCCATAGCCGAGGGCGAGGTCGCAGTGGTCGCTGGAGAGGGAGAGGTCATGGACGTAGAAATGACTCATTTCATCAAGAGAAGAAGGTTGACAAGAGCAAGGTAAGATGCTACAATTGTCAAGGCCTCGGCCACTATGCCTCAGAATGTAGGAAGGTGAAGTGTTATAATTGCCAAAAGATTGAACATTATGCATCCAACTGTAGATCGAAGAAATGGGAGGATCAGGCACACTTGGCTGAGACTCTAAGTGATGAGGATGAGTCAGCCTTACTTACAGCACAAGTTTGTGAAGTCCGAACTCTCGGTTCACCAGAGTTGACGGAGATGGCTCTTTATGAAGAGAAGGTTATCCCAGAAGAAATTGAGAAGAAAATCAACACTTGGTTCCTAGATACGGGAGCCAGCAATCATATGACTGGTTGTCAAAGTTGGTCCTCGGAATTGAATGAGTCAGTGACCG